AGAAAACCTCGGAATTCCCGGAGAAAACCATGGAATTCATGGAGAAAATCCCAAAATTTGTGGAGAAGTCCCCGGAATTCCGAGAGAAAATCACAGAATTCCTGGAGAAATCCCCGGAATTCCGAGAGAAAAAGCCAAAATCTGTGGAGAAATCCCCGGAATTCCAAGAGAAAACCACGGAATTCCTGGTGAAATCCCTGGAATTCCAAGAGAAAATAATGGAATTCCTGGAAAAATCCCTGGAATTCCAAGAGAAAACTCTGAAGTCCACGGAATTCCCGGAGAAATCCCCGGAATTCCAAGAGGAAGCCACAGAATTCCTGGAGAAATCTCCGGAATTCCAAGCGGAAATCTCGGAATTCCCGGTGAAAATCCTGGATTTTCCACTGAAATCTCGGCTGGAATGGGAAGAATTCCCGGAATTCCGGGCCAAAATCTCAGAATTCCGACTGAAATTCCTGATAATCCCAGAGAAATCCCGGCCGGAACGAGAATTCCTGGAATTCCGAGAGAAAACCCCGGAATTCCCAGCGAAAATCTCGGAATTCCTGGTGAAATCCTTGCCGGGATGGGCAGAATTCCAAGAGAAAACCCCGAAATTCCTGGAATTCCGAGAGAAAACCCCGAAATTCCTGGAATTCCGAGAGAAAATCCCGGAAATTTCATCGAAAATCCCGGAAATTTCACGGAAAACCCCAAAAATTCCAGCTCCGCCTCCTCCGGAACCTGTGGAATTCCCGGAATTCCAAGGGAAATCCTTGGAATTCCCAACGAGAACCCCAAAAATTCCGGCGCGCTCCCCCCGGGGAGGTGCGGAATTCCCGGATTTCTGCCGGAAATCGCCGGGATTCCGCCGGAAGCGCCCGGAATTCCGCGGGAAATCTGCAGCTCCGGGGATTCGCTGTCGCTGCTGAGCCTGCAGACCATCGCCTCCGACCTGCAGAAGTTCGACTCCGTGGAACATTTGTCGGGAATTCCGGGAATTTCGGGAATTCCAAAAAATTCCAAGGAAATGCTGAAAAATTTCAAGGAAATCCTGAAAAATTTGAGAAATCCCAAGGAAATCCCCCCAAAAAATTCCAAGGAAATCCCACAAAATCCCGAGAAATCCCAAGGAAATCCCCAAAAAATCCCAAGGGAAACCTGAAAAACTTGAGGAATCCCAAGGAAATCCCCCCAAAAAATTCCAAGGAAATCCCACAAAATCCCGAGAAATCCCAAGGAAATCCCCAAAAAATCCCAAGGGAAACCTGAAAAACTTGAGGAATCCCAAGGAAATCCCCAAAAATTCCAAGGAAATCCCAAAAAGTCCCAAAGAAATCCCAAAAAATCCTGGGAAATCCCAAGGAAATCCCCAAAAATTTCCATGGGAATCCCCAAAAATTCCAATGAAATCCCAAAAAGTCTCAAATAAATCCCAAAAAATCCCAAGGAAATCCCACAAAATCCTGAGAAATCCCAAGGAAATCCCAAAAAATCCCAGGGGAATCCTGAAAAATTCCAAGAAAATCCCGAAAAATTGAGAAATCCCAAGGAAATCCCAAAAAGTCCCCAAAAATTCCAAGGAAATCCCATGAATAAATCCCTGAAATTTGAGATGTTTTGGGAATAAATCCCCAAAATTTGGGATTTTTTTGGGAATAAATCCCTGAAATACGGAATTTTTGGGATTAAACCCCTGGAATTTGGGGATAAATCCCTGAAATTTGAGACTTTTTGGGAATAAATCCCCAAAATTCGTGATTTTTTGGGAATAAATCTCCAAAACTTGGGATTGTTTGGGAAGAAATCCTTGGAATTTGGGAATAAATCCCCAAAAATTGCGATTTTTTTTGGGACTAAACCCCTAAAATTTGGGAATTTTGGGTCTCCCACCCCCCAAAATCCCAATTTCCCCCCAGAATTCCCAACTTTTTTTTGGGATAATTCCCCTTTTCCCACCCAAAATGGCGCCAGGAGCCCAATTGCACTAAAGGGGGGGTCAGGAATTTTGGGGAATTTTGGGAATTTTTGGGAATTTTGGGGGTGGGGCTGTGATGAGAACCCCCAGGTTCGAGGCAGCCCCGGGAATTTCCACAAATTTCACCAAAAAATCCCAAAAATTCCCCAAAAAATCCTCCAGGAATTCCGGGAAAATTCAGGAATTTGGGAATTTTGGGGGGGAAAAAATCCCGGAAAAATGTTGATATCAATAAAATTCCTTCTTGTTGTAATTCCGTCTTTTCCGAGGTTTTTTTTCTCTCCTCATTTATGTTTTTTTTTGGGATTATTCCCCCTTTTTTTGGGAATTTTTTGGTGGTTTTTGTTGATTTTTGGGGATGTTTTATCCCAGTTTTTTTCAGCTTCATCCCAAATGGTTTTTGCTTGGGAAAATCTCCAAAAAATGGGAAAATCCCCCAAAAAATTAGGAAAAGCACCATAAAAAAGGGGAAATTCTCCTGCAAAAAAGGAAAAAAAATCAGGAAAATCACCAAAAAAAAATCAGGAAAATCGCCCCCAAAAAAGGGAAAATTCTCCCCAAAAAATAGGGAAAAAAAACCCCAAAAAAATTTGGGAATAAATTCTCAAAAAATGGGAACAATTCCCAAAAAAAAAGAAAAAAAAAATTGGGTAAATCACTGCCAAAAAAATCAGAAAAAATCACAAAAAAAGGGAAAATTCTCTCCCCCAAAAAAGGGAAAATTCTCCCCAAAAAATCTGGGAATAACTCCTCAAAAAATGGGGAAAATTCCCCCCAAAAAAGTGGGAAAATTTGGGAAAAAAGGGGAAAAAATTACAAAAGTTTAGGAAAAGCCCCAGAAAAAAATGGGAAAATCCACACAAAAAAGGGAAGGCGGCGGCGGCGGCTTTGCCGTGGGTGCGGCGGTGCCGGTTGAGGTGCGAGCTGCGGCTGAAGCACTTCCCGCACTCGCGGCACTTGTAGGGCTTCTCGCCGGTGTGGACGCGCCGGTGGATGGTGAGCTCGGAGCGCTGGATGAAGCTCTTGCCGCACTCGGAGCACTGGAAGGGTTTCTCTCCAAGATGGATCCGCTGGTGCTTGATGAGGTTGGAGGAGACGCTGAAGCGCTTCCCGCACTCGCGGCACTCGTACGGCTTCTCCCCGGTGTGCATCCGCCGGTGCTTGGTGAGGTCGGATTTTTGGATGAAGCCCTTGGAGCACTCGGGGCACTTGTAGGGTTTCTCGCCGAGGTGCGTGCGCTGGTGCTTGATGAGGTTGGAGCGCACGCCGAAGCTCTTCCCGCACTCCGCGCACTTGTAGGGCTTCTCACCCGTGTGCACCCGCCGGTGCTTGGCCAGCGCCGAGTTCTGCCCGAAGCTTTTGCCGCACTCGGGGCACACAAAAGGTTTCTCGCCGGTTTGGGTGCCTTGATCCTTCAGATTCGCCCCCAAATCCGGCGCCGAACCCGAATTCTTCCCGCACTCGCCGCATCTCTCCTCCCCTCCCGAAACCCGGCAGCGTTTTTGGAAGCTTTTCCCTTCTTTCCTCCCCTCGTTCTTTCCGCATTCCCGGCACGGCTCCCGGTGGATTTTCCGGTGCCGCTCCAGGTGGGAGCTTTGGGAAAAACTCTTCCCGCAGCTGCCGCAGCGGAAGGGTTTCTCGCCCATGTGGATTCGCCGGTGCCGGTCCAGGTGGGAGCTCCAGGAAAAGCTTTTCCCGCACTCCCGGCACTCGTAGGGTTTGCCGGGAGCGTGGCCGCGCCGGTGCTGCGCCAGCGCCGCCGCCACGCCAAAACCCTTCCCGCACTCCGCGCATTTATGCGGTTTCTCCGCCGGTTTTTTGGGGTTTTTCGGGATTTTGGGTTGTTCTGGCGATGCCGCCCCGCACTGGGCGCAGCGCCGGGCGGGTTCGGCCGCGGCGGCGTGGGTTCGGCGGTGCCGATCCAGGTGGGAGCTCCAGGAAAAGCTCTTCCCGCACTCCCGGCACTCGTAGGGTTTCTCCCCGGTGTGAATCCTCCGGTGGCGCTCCAGGTGGGAATTCCAGTTGAACCCCTTGCCGCAATCGCCGCATTTGTAGGGTTTCTCCTCCGCGTGAACCTTTTGGTGCTTCACCAACCCCGAACTCACCGGGAAGCTCTTCCCGCAAACCCCGCAGCGGCACGGCGCCGCGCCGGCGTGGATCCGCCGGTGCTGGATGAACGCCGAGCCCACGCTGAAGGATTTCCCGCAATCGGGACATTTGTAGGGATTTTCCCCCAAATGCCGCTTTTGGTGCGTCACCAAACTCGAGCCCAACCTAAAACTCTTCCCGCATTCCGGGCATTTATGGGGTCGTTCCGCCCCGCGCCGGCGCTTGGGCAGCGCCAAAGCTTTGCCGCAGTCGTGGCAGCGCAGGTGGAATTTCTTCAAGGCGGATTTGGTTTTTTGGGGTCGGGGTGGAGGTTTTGGGGTGGCGGGTTTGGCGCCGCTGGGGCTCGGGGGGGGTTCCGCGCCGGCGCTTGGGCAGCGCCAAAGCTTTGCCGCAGTCGTGGCAGCGCAGGTGGAATTTCTTCAAGGCGGATTTGGTTTTTTGGGGTCGGGGTGGAGGTTTTGGGGTGGCGGGTTTGGCGCCGCTGGGGCTGGCCTTGGGGGCCTGGGCGGGGGGTTTGGGGTCTTGGGGACCTTTGGGGATCCTGGAGGGTTTGGGGATCTTGGAGGATTTGGGGTTTTTGGGGGGATTTTGGGGGATTTTGGGATTTTGGGGAGGTCCCCAGGGGGAAATTTGGGGTCCCCGGGCCCGGATTTTGGGACCCCCCGGGGGTTTTTGGGAAAGGGGAAATGAGGGGAAAGATTGGCAAAAATGGGGGGAAACCGGGAAAAATGGGAAAATGGGGGGGAAATAGGGGGAAAATGGGGGGAAAAATGGGAAAAATTGGGAAAAAGTGGGAAAAATGGGGGAGAAGGGGAAAAAAGGGGGAAAATTGGGAAAAAGTGGGGGGAAATAGGGGGAAAAGGGAGGAAAAAAGGAGGGAAAAAGGGAAAAAATTGGGGGAAAATTGGGGGAAAGGGGCCCTGTGATCGCCTCTTCCCAAACCCCCCAAAATGAAAACCCGTGACCCCCCCCGAGGGTGCGACCCCCCCGCAAAATGTGACCCTGTGACCCCCAAGCCCCCCAAAATGAAAAACTGTGACATCCCCTGGGGGGGGGGGNGGGGTTGGGCGCGGGGGGGGCGGGGGGGGGGTTTGGGGGGGGGAGGCGGCGGCGTGCCGGGGGTTTGGGGTTTTTCCAGGGGGTTTGGAGGCGGCTCGTGCTCGGCGTTGTCGCTCGGTGAGGCCGGGACGGCGTCTGGAGAGGGAGAAAGGGGATTTGGGGGGTTTTTGGGGTTTTTTGGGGGTCACCTGAGGCGTTGGGGTGCAGCCTCTCGTCGTTGAGCAGCGCCAGGAAGTCGCTGCTGGAGGTCTTGGAGGGGTTTGGGATCTTGGGGAACTTTCAGGATCTGGGGGGCATTTGGGAATTTTGGGGATTTTTAGACGGTTTGGGGTCTTGGAGGATCTTTGGAGTCTTGGGGGTCTTGGGGGGATTTTGGGGTCTTGGAGGGATTTGGAGTCTTGGGGGACTTTGGGGATTTGGGGCGAATTTGGGACATTTGGGGTCTTGGAGAGGCCTTGGGCTCTTTGGGATGTTTGGGGGTTTTGGGGAATTTGGGGATCTTGGGAGAATTTGGGGATCTTGGGAGGATTTTGGGAAATTTTTGATCTTGGAGGGGTTTGGGCTCTTGGGAAAATTTGGGGTCTTTGAAGCATTCAAGGATTTTGGGGGGTTTTGGGGTCTTGGAGGAGTTTTTGGGACTCTGGAGGGGTTTGGGGTCATGCAGGGACTTTGGGGATCTTGGTGGAATTTGGGGATTTTGGGGTTTTTGAGGACTCGGAGGAGTTTTCAACTGGAAGACTCCAAACCCTCTCTTGGTTGCGTTGGCCAACTGGAAGAGCCCAACCCATTCATGGTTGCGTTGGCCAACTGGAACATCCAAACCCTCTCTTGGTTGGGTTGGCCAACCAAGGTCTTGGTTGGGTTGGCCAACTGGAAGAGCCCAAACCCACTTTGGGTTGCGTTGGCCAACTGGAAGAGTCCAACCCACTTTGGGTTGCGTTGGCCAACTGGAAGAGTCCAACCCACTTTGGGTTGCGTTGGCCAACTGGAACATCCAAACCCATTCATGGTTGGGTTGGCCAATCAAGGTCTTGGTTGCGTTGACCCAACTGGAAGAGTCCAACCCATTCATGGTTGCGTTGACCCAACTGGAAGAGTCCAATCCCACTTTGGGTTGCGTTGACCCAACTGGAAGAGCCCAACCCCATTGACTCACCGGCGCCCAGGCCGCGTCTCCGGTGCGATTCGGCGAAGGCGGTGATCCGCGGCCAGCTGATGGCGATCTCCTCGGCTTTTGGGGGGAAACTCGGGAATTTTTGGGAATTTTGGGAATTTTGGGAATTTCCTGCACCCCGTTTTCCCGCCCCGGCTCCGTTTTGGGGTGAAATCCCCAAATTTTGGGTGAATTTTGGTGGTTTTTGAGTGAATAAATTTTGCTGATTTTTGGGGGAACAACCGGACACGACTCAGACCCCAAAATTTGGGAAAATCCGTGAAATTCCGGCCGGAATCGGGGTTTTAATTCTGATTTTTTTTAATTAAACCAAATTAATTTCAATTTTGAGGTTAATAATTAAAAAAAAATTATCCCAAATTAAGGAGAAATTGAGGAAAATTTGGGGTCTTACCCAAGGAAATGACGCTCTCGTAGCTCTCCTGCATCTCGTCCCGGAATTCCGAGTTGATCCCGGATTATTTTGGGAATTTTTTTGGGGGGGAAAAATCCCAAATCCCAAAAATTCCGACAGCTCCCGGTCAGATTTTGAGATCCTGGGGGAAAAAAAAATCTTTAAATTTGGGTTTTTTTCATGTTTGGGGATTTTTTGGGGGAGAGATTTTTTTAGGGATTTTTTTTTTTTTAATTTTTAGGGATTTTTCGGGGAATTTTTTTGGGAATTTTTAGGGAATTTTGGGGAATTTGGGGGGGATTTTTAGGGATTTTTAGGGGATTTTAAAAGGAAATTTTAAGGGAATTTTTGGGGATTAAAAAAAAAAATTCGGGGAATTTTTTTGGATTTTGGGGGGGATTTTTTGGGGCAATTTTGGGGAATTTTAGGGATTTGGGGGGGGAATTTTTAGGGAATTTTTGGGAGATTTTGGGGGAATTTTTTGGATTTTTTGGGGGGATTTTTTGGGAATTTTTAGGGATTTTTGGGGGGGGGAATTTTTTTTTAATATTTTGGGGATATTTTGGGGCAATTTTGGGGAATTTTAGGGATTTTTGGGGGGAATTTTTGGGGGATTTTTGGAGATTTTTAGGGAATTTTGGGGGGGATTTTTAGGGAATTTTTAGGGAATTTTAGGGATTTTTGAGGGGGATTTTTTTGGAATTTTGGGGGATTTTTTGGGGCAATTTTGTGGGAATTTTTAGGGATATTTTTGGGGAATATTTTGGGAATTTTAACATGTTGGGGTTTTTTTGGGGCGATTTTGGGTAATTTTAGGGATTTTTGGGGGGAATTTTTAGGGGATTTTTGGAGATTTTTAGGGAATTTTGGGGGGGATTTTTAGGGAATTTTTAGGGAATTTTAGGGATTTTTGAGGGGGATTTTTTGGGAATTTTGGGGGATTTTTTGGGGCAATTTTGTGGGAATTTTTAGGGATATTTTTGGGGAATATTTTGGGAATTTTGGGAAGGATTTTTTTTGAATTTTAGGGATTTTTGAGGGGGATTTTTTTTTTGAATTTTGGAGGATTTTTTGGGGCAATTTTGGGGAATTTTAGGGATTTTTTGGGGGGAATTGTTAGGGGACTTTTGGGAGAATTTTTGAGAATTTTTGGGGGAATTTTTAGGGAATTTTGGGGGTTCAGGGCAGGGGGAACTGAAGAATTTTTGGGAAGGGACCCCCCCCTATAATTCCCACCTTAATTCCCACCCAAATCCAGTTTTTTTTAATTTTGAGAAGGGTTTAAAGAAGGATTTGGGGTTTCCATGGGAAAAAAATGCAGGGAATGAAGGGGTTAAAAAAGGAGATTTTTAATTGGGGGGGGCGCTGGAATTTAAGGAATTAAAAAATTAAAAAGGGGGAGGAAAAGAGGGGAAAAATTGGGAAAAAAACGCGGAAAGAAAGAGGAAAAAATGGGGGAAATTAGAAAAAAAATGGGAAGAAAAACGGGAAAGAACCGGGAAAAAAAAACGGGAAAATGGGGGGGAATAAAAACAGGAAAAAGGGGAAAAATAAAGGAGAGAAAAAGCCCGAAAATCGCGGCAGAAAATGAGGAAAATTGGGAAAAAAATAAGAAAAATGGAGGAGGGTCTCGGCCGGGATGCGAGGACAGAGGAAAATGAGGATAAAACCAACAAAAAACCGGAATTTTGGGGCAGAAAAAGCGGATTCGGAGTGGGGAAAGCGGTGAAAAAAATCGGGGATTCAAGGGTTAAAATCCAAGGGGGGATTTCTGGGAATTAAATCCCGGTTTTTTTTATATTTTTAATTATCTTTTTAATAATTATTCCTGTCTTTGGGCGCGGTCGGGAAGGGATAAATTGGGGTTTTTCGGGTTAAAAAATTTAGAATTTTTATTACCTGGATGCCGGAGGAAAAGCTGGAGGAGCTATAGGGGAGGGAAAAAAAATAAAAAATTAAATAAAAATAAAAAGGGGGAGGGGCGGGTGTTGCACGTCGGCTCCGAGATCGCAGAACACACAGGAAGGGGTTGGAGCAACCAAAAAAAAAAAATTAATTAAAAAAAGGGAAAAAATGGGAAAAAAAGGGGGAAAATGGGGAAAAAAAAAAAAAGAGGGAGCGGGGTTGGGGTGGGGGAGGGGAGGAATTCCTGGGATTTTTGGGTTTTTTTGGGATTTGCGTGGGGGAGGGGAGGGGGAAAAGCGGCG